CCTGAGCACAGAGATTCAGTAAGTTTTGGTGTTAAGAGCGCTGGGCTGGGCACTTGACTTCCTAACCCAACCTTTCCACATCACACCACTGAGTGTACTCTGCCTGATCTGACTACCTTCAGTAACTGGGCAGAGGAGGACACTGAAGTGACATAACAATTAGATTTGGGTAACTATGTGTGTGCCTAGTTGTTCACAATTAGAGCTCACTACTTTATATATGCTGGTCAAAGCTGGGGTGGTTATTTTTATTATATTACCAAAAAAAAAATTTTTTTTAACTGAAAAATGAGCTAAGCTATCTTTTAAAAAAGATATGCTTTAAGCTATCTAGACAAAAAGAAAATTAAAGTTTTGGCTAAGTTTTATTTCAAGAGGAAAGACATTATTTAAAACTACTTGTGTGTGTGTATTCTGTCAATTGTATTGGCTTTCCATAACAATATACTGCAGACTGAGTCATTTGCATTATTTTTCCACAGCCACTAGTGTGTGAAATGTAACCAATCAATTTGTCCCACTTTGTAAATGAAAATACGAATTTTCACCAATTTATCATGGATTATATAAATGATTGTATGTTGTCTCAAAGGCTCGGAAATGTAATGAATGACTGTCTGCAGTTTCTTGCTCTAACTACATATTGTTTTTCTTCATTGCAGGCTTAAATGATTTCCATTGTAAACTAAGGGGGCAAATACACTGTCTATTCTGTTTAGCTCATGTTATTTTAACATTAACTGTATATTAACATTATATGTACATATTAAGATTATAAAGTAATTCTTCTTTTAAAGAAAAATTAGCATTTAGAAGAATATTATCCAAGAAATTAATCATAACACTATTTTCTCTTAGTGAATTTAAGGTAGAGTTACGTTCAAGTTGTCTTAGTTCAATTAGAAATTTTAACTACTATACTCTGAAAATATACTAACACCATTCTCTTGTCTTCTGTGTAGGGCCTTGTATGATAATCCACACATCATTTTTTTAATATGTTGTACCTTGTTTGCATTTTAATACAATAACATTGTTATCTTTTAAAGTAAATTTTTGGGACTTTGCCCAATTTAGTATTGTAAGTTTTTGTTTGGAATTATTTTACCTTGTTTTCTCACCAACAGGTAAAGCCAAATTGTTTGCAAGTTTGAAAATGTTTTAATAAAATCTAAAATGATGTGTGGTTTATTCATTATCCTTGTCTAAGTCTGCCTTTCTGAATCTGTTTCTTTTATTTAGTCGTGCCATGAACAAGATATAAAACATTCCTCTATCTCTCCACAGTTCATTCCAAGAAAACTTACCAGCGACAGGTTTAAATGATGAACCTCTACCTGCAACTAGCCTGGATGATCTTTATCTACAATGGAGAGAAGAAAATAGTCAACGGTCTGCTAAATTTTGTATAGTATCCTTGATTTGTGTTGACAGGACTTTGAGATAACTTTAGAAATGTTTAACCCATTTTTTTTATTTTGTTTCCTTTTTTCAGAGATTAATCATTACGCCACAAAGCAGTTGTCTGAAACTATCTCCCCCATCCCTAAGAGAAGGGCTATAACTCTGTATCAAATATTTTTAAAAAATCAATCCACAGGAAAAAAAAATACTAATAAAACCTAAAAAAAAAATCTTCTTTTTATAATAGAGAAAAATAGAGCTAGGGATTAGAATCATTTTTCAAGTCATAAATAGGCCTACAAAGCTCAAATGCATTAAAATATGTCACATTTAGTTCCCTTCTAATCTCTCGTTTGACTAGATGTAACATAATTATTACTGGATCTAGCATCAATTTTTTTTCTTCATTTTCACTACTATTGGCCTCAAATGGCTCTAAATCACTTGCCCCAATCATTATTTTCTTATTATACTGCTGAAAAATTAATACCTTATTCAATTAAAGCCTACACATTAGCCTAAATATGTTCATTTTTGTAGGCTAGCAAAAAAAAAACAATTTTCAAAAAAATCATTCTAACATGAGACAGATACAAAATAAATACCTAAAAATAGCATCACTATCGCTCTCTTAGTTCAGAGTTTCTAAAGGTATAAATAGTTATTTAAAAACTAGCAGTGCGTGCATAAACAACCCAAAATCTATGATTGCTGGCAACTCCTGTCTACTCTAGTTGCCTACCAGTGGAAGCGACTCCTGGTGCCTCTAGTTGTGAAATGGTTAATGGGTGATTTTTTAATGTGATACTGCATTGGTTACATCTATTTATAACATTCCTTAGAATTGTTCATTTAAAATAGAAGCTATTTAAAATGCAGAAACCCTAGCTACTTACCAATCAATACCCTATTGACAAAAAAATGTTTAGAACTGCTCTACAAATGATTGTTACATTTTATCCTTGACCTAATTCTAGTTTGCTTCTATCACCTCCAAATTGTTTGATACCTTTAAAGAAATCATAGGACCTGTGACTACATTGAACGCATTGACAGCAACGGCTCAAGAATGGCAGACAAAATTTCTGGCTCTTCCAGTTCTTAGGAAAGGTAAGTGAGGCCATAACTTGATGCTTGGGCAATACTGGTTTAGGTAAAATCAGCCTGCTAAGAAGAGGTTGAACAACTCATTGTTCTACTTTGTCCTTGTCTTTTCAGTTGTTACTGCTGGTTAGCACTAAATAGAAGTAGCATTTCATGAATCAAGTGGTAAAACTAAATAACCCTCTGAGTGTGTTTCTGACACAGCAACTTATAGTTCAGATGTAATTTTTCACTTGTTTCATTGGCCCATGGTTAACAAGAATGTCATCCTTATCCTCAATACCCTTATGATACATTCAAATACACATTAACTTTGGCAGGAGTTTGTAACATTCCTTAATTTGGAGAATGAACCAAATACCATGCTAGCCAAAGCTTAATTTAAAAAAAAATGTACAAAGTTTTTAAAAAATATACTTAAATGAATCTCCTATGACTTCTTGTTTTCAGTGATTCTTGGAGGTATGCTGGAACTAAGTCGCCAGGACAGTATTGTGATGACACCTGACAAACTGCAGCTACAAGTTGGGGCATCGAATGCCAGGGTCAAGATGGAGGATACCTTCTCATGACAGCATCTCACATCATCATATTCATAAACATTTGTTTCAAAGTAAATACTGATAAAAGAAGTCCACTGTACTGGTAAACTTTCATTAAGAATGTAGTTACAGCTGTGACTTTAGTAAGGCAATCTGGTCCAACACAGATGAGTATGTGTCAGTAAGATATCTTCTCTTGTCACCTGAATCATTTTTTAGGGAAGGTTTGTGTTCATTATGGTTACTTCGACATTTCTTATTGAGACAGCCATCAGATGTCTCACTCAACTGTGATCGTAAAGCGTGGGTTATACAGTATTCTTAGTTTCTATGAAATTTTATTGGTTGATATAACTTGAATTTAGAATATTATTCCATGAATTTCTTAGGGCAGAACATTTTAGGTTTATTACCATTTTGAAGAGGGAAAAATTAGAATTAATCATGAAATTGAGAAACATGGGTCTACATACCAATTTAAAATTATTAGTGAATTGAATTAAAGGTTTATTGTCAGTATCTTTTTTTTTTTATTGTTTGCTAATTCACTATGTACAGGTATTCTTTACTAAAATATAGCAACATTTTTATTTTACTTTTCTGAAAGTTTTAAAAGCATGTAAGTCACCCCCATACTTTAGTTAAGCTTTTAAATTTGCTGGACATTTGGCTACACACTTTGTTTAAGTGGACTTGTTATTTTGTTATTTATACTTTGTTGTACATTTTGTAAATAGTGAGAAAGAGTGTGCACTAATTGAATGGGAAAGATGCTTCCTTAGAGCATCACTGTGTTGAATGAATTCAATCCATTTTATTTTAGTAAATTTGCATTTTTTTATTTGGCTACCTACATGTCCAATATTACATTTTCTTGTTTATACTTTCACATTTCTTTGTTATTTTCAAAGAGATGTACATCTTGCATTTTTCTTTGATTGTACAGCACAAATGTAAAGAAACTAAAAAAAATTATTTTATGGCATTTTTATTTCTGATTTTCTTGTAAGAAATTTGTTGTCTATGTACATTGGGATCCATTGACTGGACACAAAGGCTAGTCTTTCTCAGCATCTGGCTTGTGGACATTTGTGTGCTGGTTAAAAAACAACTATTGTATTGTCGTGTGGACAGTTGTTCATTATTGTGAACTTATTCTAAAGGCCAGCCAGTGTCTTGCAGGACTTGAAACAAAACATGACAGTGAGACCCAGTACATAGCTTACAATGTTTTTATGTTTTGTTTGGGAAAGAGTTTGCTCTTAAACAAAATATTTGTAATGATTAATAAAAAAAAAAGTCATTTATTTATACATACCGGTATACATATTATGTGTTCTTGTTTTTTTACCTAGTAACCCTAACAATTAATTAAGACCAATTTAAAGATATGGTGCCCTTGTAATCAACATAAGGAATTTATTCCTACAAACAACATAGCTTATGTTGCCTACACATATTAAAGTGTTCTTTAAATATGGAGATATGAAAAGAAATTGTATTTTTTTATATTTTTGTATGAATAAACAGGCCAATCCTAGATAGAAATCCATGGTCACAGGTTAGGCATTTGTAATGATCAGATAATGCTGCATTTTCAGCCTTTTTCCAACTTCTGGTGTGTTCACCACCTGTGATGCAGGAGTCCTTTTTGCTTGCCCTCCATGTGGATCTATCCTGTGCTTCTTTCTTCAACTGTTGGTTTTAATTCTGCAGATTTTTCACACAGTATTTTAAACAGCAGTTCTCCTACCCTTCTCCTGGGGTTACCATAAAGTAGATCTTGTGGAAGTGGCATTCTGTATACATGTCCAATCCTCTACTTCTGATTATATCAAGAAATAATTATACAATCTTCTATAGTTATAAGCACCTCACTAACATAATGGTTAGTATGTTGGCTTGAAAAGGCCAGAGCCACGAGTTCAAAATCAGACTGATTCTCCCCCCCCCCCCCCCCCTTTTTTTTTATATAAAGGCTTTAAAAAAACTAATTGTAGAATTCACCCAGATATCCCTTTCTCACCCCTTCCCCAATTTTCCCAACTGGTCCAGACAAGTGATAGGATCATGACGTTTTGAGAAAGCTTAAATCATGCTGTAGTGCTAAACAATTGCTAAAAAAATTTCTAATCGCATATCTATTAATTTAATACGTGACTGATACAATTACACTTTTTTTATGTTTTTCTTTTTTCACTTCCTCTTTCCCTTCTGGATAAGATTGATAAGAACACATTGATAGGAATACCGTATCTGAAACAAATGTTTTAGTCTTTTTCACTTTTGTATTAAAATTACAGAGAACTCAAAATGCTTCACAATTAAAAATAATATTGTGACTGAATATAAAGACCATAACCATAATTTCCTTATTTGACTTCTTTACCCTTGACTGGAATTACGGAGGAATTTTAAAAAACTGATGGCAACAGTTATCTTTCAATTTAGAGCCCTGATATTTATTTCAAAATCTATCACAATTTTCCCTTCATTTTCAAATGTTTTCACTGTATTTTTTTTTTAATGTAAAAGCTCTAATAATTCAAAATGTAAATAAACAGCAGATAACAGATGCAATGCAAGAGTTACATTAGAAAGGAAATGAGGACAAATATGAATTTTTCTTTGCAAGTTGCCACCTTAAGAGAAAAAGCTGCATATTGTTACAAAGCTTATAAGAACTCCCTGTGTCTGTCTGGTAAAAAGTTTGTACACAAACCTATAAAATTGAAACTTAAAAGAAAAAGTATTTATTGTACCTAACAAAACATTAATGAATTTTAAACAATTAACCAATTATTTTGTTTTATATCAAATAAGGGAAATAACCTCTATATTATTGAGTTTTAAGTGCAGAGTTCCTACTCTTTGATAAGTTAAAAAAAAAACTAACAATTTTTCAATATTTTGATTGTTTTGTTTTAAAACCTGTCCATCTACCAATTTTGTGAAAATATGAGTGAACCCATAAGAGAGCTGCCTGTGTGTGATTACATTTTAATCTCATCTATCTTCAGAATCATGTATTTTGTGTTATACTTGATAGTATTGATAAAGACTGGGGGAGGGGGATAGAGAGATTTAGAATGAGAAAAAAATAGTTTAAGGTTTGGAATCTGATCACACAAAACCAGTAAAAAGCACAAAAGCTTTTTAGTTCAGCAATTAAAATTATATTTGGTGATGCATTTCTTACATACAGAATGAAAGTTTGTCAACACTCTGGCTGTTAAATGTATTAAGTGTTAGTAAATTATGAACAGTAAAACAGCCTGGTCAACTATTGTTTTGATAGTTGGAGTTTGAACCCTGCCTGCCACAATCCACTGGTATCCTACAGGAGGTTTGGACTATGTGGTACTGGCATTAATTTTCATGGAGCATCTGAAAACAAAGTCAAGGCTGCCTATCTTTATATGATATACATTCTAATCAAAGAAAAAATCACTCTATAACCATCACAAGTCTGGTTATATAAATATAATGAATAATTTAATTTATTTCTGAAACATATGACAAGGACATAGCAAGGAAACACTTCTAGTTAATACATGTATACTGTTAACATTATTCATACATGTAACGTTAGAAACAATATAGTGTGGAACATTAACAGGGCTGAAATTGTGTTGAGGTTGTTTTCATTGTTTTTCTTTTACCATACCTGTACAATAAAAATTCTGCTAATTGACTAAAACACAGGAAGTCAAAATAGTGTTGCATTAAGTAGATATTAAACATTTTCCATTCGATCAAACTAAATAGTAGCGCATTTGTTCTTATTTGTGATGCTAATATAATTTGAGGAAACAAAGCATATTTGTGGGCAAATAATGTTTAACTCTAAAAATGTTCACTTTTTTTTTAACAAAGAAATTGCAATGTAAATTTTTTTTAAAATCTAATAACAGGAGTGGCAAGCAGCAAATATTAAAATATGAGCAAATCATGTATATTCATTTTTGTATCACAGAAAGGAAATAATAAGTAATGCAGGCTTTTAGAAAATATTCAGCATGATTATATTAAAAATTAGAAAAACTTTAATTTCCAATTCAAGCAAAATAATGTAAATGTTATTTTATGGATTTATACTGTCAATTTTAAATATTTTCTTATACATTTATTTCTAAGAAATAATATCCAAATGTTTTCAATCAGATATTTTAAACTTTATACATTTACTATTCTCAGAAACAGTCGTTACCATCTAGGCAAAACTGCTCAACTTTTAACCTAGTTTCTTTATATTTCTGTTCACCATTTTATGAGTTACTTCAAAAAAAAAAAAATTCCTACAAAACTCGATATTCATAACTTTTCACACAAATGTGACTGACTAGAATTGTTAGGACAAAATATTTATCTATTTCCATCATTTAAAAAAACAAAACATTTCAAACATTGAAAGAAAAATAAGACAGAGATTTACTTTTAAGACTATTTTTCAAGAGATTATCAGAAATTAAGTCAGAATTTTTAATACATATTGCTCATTAGCTCATTGTAGCTGCAAAAAAAAGCAATTTAAATAATGCAATTTTATTGTGACTTTGAGTAACAATCACAGTTTGAAGAGAAAAATACCCAAGTGTGCCTCGTACTGCACCATGTTATATTGCTATTGTAAAACTAGAATAACTGTATGATATCTAAAAACAATACTGGCAGCTTTATACAATTATATTTTTAATAAGCACATACATTGGTAACAGTTTTTTTTTTACTATTATAACACAGGGGTCAACAAAGGGGGATAATTCAATTAATATTAAAGGTGTTCTAGGCTCCAATACTTTCCTTACTAGATAGGATTACAACCAGTGCCCTTTCTCTAAACATACAACCAGTGGCCATCCATTGATGTCTTATTAGTAGCTCTGGCATTCCAGGCGATGAACATTATCCTCTTTAGTTCAAAGTGAATCTAATTTTGATTTGAGGATAGATAAAACAAACCTCAGAGGCTAATAACCACAAGACTCTACGCTGCTTACAAAGCATGAGACAAACAACATTGGGTTAGTAACACATGCACACTGGAAGAGAGAAGTTAGTAACATTTGTAATGCACTGTTGAAGAAATGACTATATAACATTTGTAATGCATTTGGAAGATGGTAATAATAAGAGATAAGTAAGAATAATAGCAAGTTTGGTTCAACAAGTTAAAAAAACAAAAATCTCTAAACATTTCTCTAATAAAATAATGGAAGATACTTAGTATTTATTTGGTTAGAAAAAAATAAATTCTTTGGAACATCAAGCTAATTGTTGTTAACAAAACAGAGGCACTTCATTTGATGAAGTAAAAATATAAATTTAAAACAATGAGTGCTAATAAAGAAATTTCAACACTAAAAAACAAACACTTTGTTAGGGTCGACTGGCAGTCACAGCTTCCACCTGGTGATAAATAAATTTTAAAATTTAAAAGACGCACAAAAATTCATTGATAAACAAGAAGACTATGTCATGCTTATGTTTAGTGTAATAACATTGACAATTAAAGTTGAATGAATATGAGCTGCAACTAAATCATTGGAAGATTACGGGAAAAAAAAGTCCAAATGGGAATTGTCCTGGGCTATGGAATAAAAAACTGTAAGTAAGCAGAATGGTCAATATTGTCTGCTCTCTTAAAAAAACTAACTCATGATTCCATGTTGGATACAATCTTAAACATGTCCTCTTGATAAGCTTGCACATCTAATTGTTCAATAGACTGAGGTTGTTAGATTGCTCTCCCCTTATTTTCTATTCCTTGGAGGAGATGATTGTTATTTTCTGTAAAGATGGGAAGGGAAAATGGACACTTGCTATGTCTTAGCATTCTTTTCATCTAAATAGAGGGGAGGCATAGTCCGTCCTTTCCACAATCAAACACTCTCTCTACCTCTGCAGACATGTAAGAATCTGTGATATCCATTCAAATTGAGAGATAATTTCTACAACCTCAATTCACCAGTGAAAGTACACAGTTTAGTTCAAAATGTATCCAATAATGCCAATACTGGAAATGACCCAGACAGAATTTTGAATCAGTTGAAATATTGTGATTAGTACCTTACAACATGCTGAATTTACTTGTATCCAGGTGTAAAAACAAACAGGAATTATGCTTGTAATTATTAAATAGAACACTTGACAGATTTAGCCAATTTAACTGGATGGCTAAAGGAAAGATTTAACTACATTTAAGTAGATAAGACCATTAAGTCTAACAGCAGCTATATCAATAATAATAAAAGAAAAGATTCAATTACAAACAAAATAATTGAAGCCAATAACTTACCAGTCCCCCTTGGTTTAGGAGAAACTGTTGATAGTTCTCTGCAATGAAGTTGCTAGCCAAGGTAGCTGCCAAGCTGACACCATTAAAAGGGGAGTCATGGAGACTTTTACAGACACCTTTAGCAATGGAGACCACCAGAGAAATGTCCTGCATCTCTTTGCCCTCTTCTTTCTTAGAAAACAGAAAACTGCCCAGTTTCTCTCTGAATCCAGCATATATTCCAGATAATACAGATTTCTAAATATAAATATATAAAACAACTGTGACTATTCAACCTAGATCTGAGTTAGATTGAGAAAATCAATAAGATTTCTTAATAATTATGCTTCTGATTGTTACAATAGACTATAATATAAAATCTTTTAAGGTTTGAATCGCTAAATGCTTTTTTTTATTAAAATCAAGCCATTGAGAATGTTGTGAAAGTAGTTTTTTACAAAGCTTATATCAACTCACTCTGTCTGTATATCTGTCGGGTGAAATGTTTTTGTACACATTATTTCTCCCATACTCAATCTTGGATCAATTTGAAATTTTGCACAATTCTTTCTGCCTACTGACAAAACAAGAAACTATTAAAAAAAGAAAATTACCAACTAGTTAAGTAAATTTTGGTAATTAATTATTTCTTATGATATCAAACAAGGGAAAGAAATCATACTTGACAGATATGGTGGTATGGTTAAATTAGTCTCCTTTATATTTGTGTAGAGAGGCTTCACTTAAAAGTTCAAAATAACTATAAAACCTTTTTTTTCATAAGCACTTGCTGGCACACACTTAAGTGTATTTATTTCAAGTCGTAAAACTTTTAACAAAAAATATATATAATGCATTTAAAAAGTGATCACTGTAACATTTACCCTGAAAGACCCTTCTTCCCCCTCCCTCCTTTTCCCAACTGGTCCAGACAAGTGAGAAAGCTAAAAACATGAAAATGTGCTAAAGAAAAGCTATTGCTCAAAATAATATCTTATTACACATATTTATTCTTGTTGGTCTAGTTCTATTACAAATTTAATTAAATGACTGATCCACACTAATTGATACAATTACACTTAACATAAGCTTTGTTTTTTAAAAAAGTATTTTTGATATTTTTCTTGTTTTTTTAAAATTTGAATTCAAGGAAGTAAAGAAAAATTAGAGTCATCTCTCATGCCTCCATAACCTTCCCACTACTTTCTACAAATAAATGAAGATGTTTCTTAGTCCCTACAAATCTAAAGAGTATCTGAAAAATATTATAACATTTCATAGTTATTGTACAGTATCTGTCACATAAAAATCTCATTAAATGCTAAACACAATAAAACTTCAATTCAGCTACTTTAAGTTTAATAGGTCAGGGAGGCGTGGTGGCTGAGAGGTAAAGCGCTTGGCTTCCGAACCGGGGATCCCGGGTTCAAATCATGGTGAAGACTGGGATTTTTAATTTCGGGATCTTTGGGGCCCCTGAGTCCACCCAGCTCTAATGGATACCTGACATTAGTAAAGGCGGTTGGTCGTTGTGCTGACCACATTAAACCCTTGTTAACCGTAGGCAACATAAACAGATGACCTTTACATCATCTGCCCTATAGACCACAAGGTCTGAAAAGGGAACTTTACTTTACTCTTTTTTAACAAGTCAGATTGGCAAACAGCTTGTGGCTGTGTTTGACTTACATTAAAATAAACAAAAAGTCCACTTGTTCACTTATATATTAAATTGAAATTTTGCTTTCTAAATAGTCAATGAACTAAGCTATTGAGGAAAGCAATAATGATTTCTTTCAACAAAGTATCATATAGTGACACTATTACAGAAAAAAAACTAAACATTCCTTACCGCAGAGATATCAAGAGTTGGATTAATTTCTCCACCATGTGCACCTGAAATAAATAAATATATATATATATATATTACAAAGAAAGTTTGTGTTTTCATACAAACTCAGAGATGGCCCCCAAAAGGGGTTCCACCCATGGGTCATCTGTTGGGTAAGCAATGCAGGTAAAAAGGCAGGTTTCAACATTTCAACAACCACAATTTTACCTTACTCTATATAAAATAGATTGGTGTGGGACAAAAGTGTTGCACATGTTATTGCATTGTTTGGCTGGCTGAAGTTTTTATTATTATTACATTGTTGATATTCTTAATCAGTCAATAAACTAATAGTTAAGAAGATATGGTTCAATGTGAGTATGGCCTAAAGGATAAACCCTAAAACCAGAGCACAAATTTTCTCAAGGTTTAACCTATAAGCCAAAGTGCAACTTTTAAGCCTTTTCAATTGAAAATTACAACTAAAAGCACCCTTATATTATTATTAAACTCTGAAAAAATCTAAAGTAAAAGTAGAACCTAAGAAATTCTGTCAATTTTTCAATGTTTAACTTCGACCAATGATTCAAGCATCAAGCATCAGTCATTGGCTGCAACCATCTGGGTTTTGATTTCAGTTGTCAACAACAATATTAAAATATTAAAACAGCTTTTGTTGGATTAGTACTTTACTCACAACTGTTTTATAGTCAACTAGTCGACCGGCGTTCAAAGGATCCGCACTTTCATAGGACCCACGATAGTTCAAGGTGTATAAATTATTAAATAAAACCATTTTTTAACTTAAAACAAATTTCCCGCCCTCATGACAATTTACCAGGAGGTCAACAATTCTCAAAGATAGATTGAAACATTAGGTAATTCTTACTATTGAGCGGGATCTATGTAGGAAACAGAATTATTATGATATAATGTATGACTTTGCAAGGCTCGTAAAGTAATCCTGTACATAGTAAAGAATGAATAAAATGCATAGGCGAATTTATTTTCTAATTAAAACTCTTAAATTTCACTTATTGTCCGCTTCCCGTTTCGAAAAGGGCCTCACAATGCGTAAGTCCGGCCTTGCTATTTAGTGTTTCTAAAATGATTGTTTGTAAACTGTTTTACATGTTTCAGATGTTCCTTCAGAGTTGAAGATAGTTTACTTTTTAGTCCAAACCTCCCGCAAGACGTAGGGGGATAGGAGCGGGCAGTGTTTGACAGTCCAGGGCGCAGCCATCCGTAGGGGCGTGTGAATACCCACGTGTTCTCCCCCCCTCTTGTTTTTTCGTGGGGTGACTCCGCAGAAATAAGAGAGTGATCTTTCTTTTACTTCTTGTTTAATCTTTTGAGGGAAGAAAAGAATTATATATATAGATTTTTTTTAGCATTGTGCTTAAATTAGGTAATGTCCTCTAATAAAGAGGAAGACAGACAAGCATAAATAGATTTCAATAAAACTTTCACAACTTGGTGTCAAGGACTTTATCCTAAAACTAAAAAATTTGTCTCTCAAAAGTTAATTTCACTTGAGTTTTTAGGGCTCTCACTCTTAAGTTACATATGTCATGATGAATAAGAAATGTCTTACTTGACCTACTTATGAGAGAGGTTCATTTAAAGCCCAAAAAATCAATCAAGGCTCTTTAGCAACTCAAAAATAACTAATTTTATTTTTTAATTAAAATATTTTTTTTTAAATTACTTACTTAACCACTGATTTATGTTTTCAGATTTAGCCAACAGACATTGGGTGATATCTTCTATAAGTTGATCACAATCTGAAAGTTTAAAAAAAAACGTTTCATAATAATACTAAAATAAATATTTCTTTAAAGAGTAACTAATTTCAAATGTTAACATATAAACATTTTTTAATCAATAAGAATAAAACAACTAGAGATTACAAATTTAAGCTTAATATTCAATGGAAAAAATCCCCACCCCTAAAAAAATAATGCCCCAAATAAGCAAACCTTTTTTTCCATATTTCTGTGTTAATCCATCTCCCATTTGAACCAATTTCTCTGCTGCCTCAGACATTTCATCATCACCTCCACCACATTCAAATTGGAATGT